AGTTAGTTAATTCTAAGATAGAAAATTGAACACTATGTGCGCGTTTCTTAATAAAATACCTTGAAAAATTATTCAGATTCTATGGTAGATATGAAAGTTCCATTTAACATGAAATTTTAACATCGATCTGTCAATAGCAAATTAGCAATCAATTGCCTACGAAACACAAAGAAGAATTTCTTCAATTTTCTGGCATAAAATTTCACAAGAAGTAGCAGTAAAGGAAGATTAAATAAGAAATGCAATTCTGTGACAAATTTTTCCCAAACAGTGTTTTTAATATGTTACACAATAAAAAGTTACATTACGTGGTAAGATACTGTATCTCATCTTATATATTTTACTTTTCAAACATTTGTATCAGACTTTTCTGCGATTTTTCAATTGCATTACGCATTATTGCAATAATTTCTATCGTTACATTTAATTCTAATTGTTTAGCAGCTTTTCTGCTGCTATCGACCCTACATTTTACTGACACTTGTGGAATCGACCTTACATTTTTTTTTTTTTACGTGGATGTAGGCCGTCTCTATGTGATAAACAATTGGCAACCAAACGGTGGCTCTCCCTCTATATTCGACTGATAATGTGTACAAAATTAAATTAATCACTCAATAAGTATTAACGTTAGATTGTTTCCTCGATATGGCCATGGTGGTCATCAGTGACTGGAGTGCCTCAAATGTTTAGAATAATTAAAATACAATAAATGGTGTCAACTAAAAATTTTGAACGTCATAATTAGCTAGACATTATTTTCAATTGAAGAAAAAAAAATTATAAAGCATAATACTCTAATCTTATGCTTAAAATAATGAATATGTATTTTCTTCCGAATCCCCTTAAATGAAAAATTTCTTTCCCGCTGTTCCCCTGCCCGGCGATCATTAACAGCAGGAAAGAACGTAAAACGAGAGAACGCTAGAAATTTATTATGGGTATATACGCGCATTGTGCTTGCTCCATGTGCTCCTCGTTAAGATTCAAGCTTCGTTGCTTCCACTGCAAGCGTCAAAGGGTCCTTGATTGAAAGTACTTAAAAGCAGTTCATCGGCGAACAGAAGAATATTTGTTGCTCGTAAATATGTTTTTCTTTTTATCAATGTTAGCATCGGCAAAATTGTAATTCGCGAAGATTCGAAACTTTTCCACGGGAAAGCTCCGTTAGTTTAGTAGAAATTTTAAAATGTCTACTTACTTATTTACTCAAGAAAGGTAATTCTTTGTTATACATACAACTATTGCTGTATTTAAAATATTTTTTAAACATGAAACAATTGGACCATCTTTGAAATTTTACTGCATCGTTCTAAACAGTTTGAAAGCTTCTAGTAATAATCGAGCTTCCAGGTGAAAGAATTTTCGAAGATGCTCTTCTTTCGCGTAAAACTTAAATTTAAAGAAAGATCGCTGTAGTCAAAATACACCTACAATACATGCACAGTACATTCTCAAGACTAACTAAATGAAAAATAAAAAATTTCTAAAAATTTCCAGCATTTAAGCATAGATGCTCTTCTTCCACGTAAAACTTAAATTCAAAGAAAGATCGCCATAGTCGAAATACGCTTATAATACATATACGGTATATTCTCAAGACTAAGTAAATAAAAAATTTTCTAAAAATTTGCATTATCTAAACATAGATGCTCTTCTTTCGCGTAAAACTTAAATTTAAAGAAAGATCGCTGTAGTCAAAATACACCTACAATACATGCACAGTACATTCTCAAGACTAACTAAATGAGAAATAAAAAAATTCTCTTCAACACTAAAAAAATGGAAAACAAAAATTTCCATCGTCGAAAAATTCTCTTCTTCCGCATACAACTTAAATTCAAAGAAAGATCGCCATAGCAAAAGTACGGTTACAATACACATACGGTATATTCTCAAGACTAACTAAATAAAAAACAAGAAAATAATTTTGAAAACTAATTAAATAAAAAATAAAAAAGTAATTCTCAAAACTAACTTTTGGAAGTGACGTGGTGTAGAAATAATTATTACGCTAAGGTTGCTTAACGAAAATATATATTTATTTAAATCAGATAACGCTTAAAGTAGTTTAAAGTGTAGGCGACACGATGCATGCAGAAAGAAAGTCTACGACAAAAAGCCTCGTGTCTTTTTTTTTTTATCTCCACCTGGAAGTTATGTAGTGCCGCCTGGAGTAATTCCTCCTTATGCACTGAAAAGTATTAAGACGTTAGTTACCATTAAAATTTAAAGTTGGAATGAAACCATGCAGGAGTTTGAGAATCATGCAGGAAAAGTTGCAAAAAACCTGCGAAACAAAGAATAGGCTGAGGTACGGGGCAAATGAAGGGGAGGGGGTGGGAATCCATTACAATCTGGAGGCATAGAAAATCACAGCAAGGCCAGCAACAAAAAGCCTCGTGCCTTTTTCGGGGCTCCCTTAAGTAGCCCCTTTTGCCCTGTGGAAATCCCAGGAAGTGGGGGCGCGGACCTACATTGCCAAGGCGATACTCTTGTCCTCGAGGACGAAGGAACCCGGGGACGTTTGGAAAACATCTCTCGACTCTTCGCCTCGAGGGCCAAGAAAATTCTCTTCTTCCACACAAACCCCAAATTCAAACAAAACCACCCACGGTACTCTCCAATCGTACATTCCTCAGGGTGCAAAGCAAGCGTCGTCCTAAATTCAGAAACGGTTCGAAGAACTGAACAGGCTAAACCAACGCAAGAATTCACGAACGTCACATCCGTACGAACGCAAAAATAAAAAAAGGATGAAATCCTTCGTTGATCACGCGGGGGTCGCGAATAAGGAAAAAGTTCGTGCACTTTTCTCCTCGCAGAATCGAATTTCCTGTTGCCAGTCGGTGACGTAGGCTTGGTGTTCCAATAACAGGAGTCCCCATACATAGCCGGTTCTATTGATTTTTCGTAGAGGCGCAAGCGCTATTCGTCTCTTATCTGGCAAAAGGGAGGCGCGGCTATAACCATGGATCCCAGTGTACTCGCCAACATGGACAAGGACGTACTAAAGAAACAGATCGAGAACATGAAGTACCAGGCTAGTATGGAACGGTGGCCCCTGTCGAGAAGTATTGCCGCGTAAGTCCATCAACCCCTTATTTTTAACCCCGCTACGTCCTCGAATATCCTTCGAATTCTCCTTATTTTCCATTCCAATTTCCCACTTTTTCATTCGAATTTACACGGCCAAGTAGAGTACGACGAGGATGGTCCACGGAAAGCTCCATGTTTCCCGTCCATCAACCCCATCTATCTCATCCCATATTCAGCAGCTACACCTGAAATTTTCCTCGGTTTCTTTCATCCCCTTTCCTTAGAGTTTCTCTATCCTCTTTTCTTTCATTCTTCCTGTGCATTGTCTTATTATCCTCGATTATTTTTTCGAATTTTTGTTACAGTTCTTCCTTGTTCTGTGTGTTAACTAGGTTGGTAGATTGGCTGTGCTTTTTCATTTACCTTGATTAATGGACTGCTCCAGTTTTTCAGACTTTCTTTCTCATGTGATTGGTTTGTTTATTTTTTTAGGTGTGTGTGTGAGTTTGTAATTGCATGGAAAAGTGTTGGGTGAATTGCTTGTTCGATTTTTGACAAATTTGCGTGGGTGGGATTAGAGAGAATTTCGAGTTGAGAGGAGTTGTGATGGTTTAGAGATTTTTTTTCTATTGTACGGTTTGTGAGGTAAAGTTGCTTAAATAATAATGGATCGATATTTAGAAATAAACGTGCAGTCGTTGAGATTATAGATTTTCCAACAGTCGGAACCATATGGTAGTTTATAGTTAATCTAAATTTGGGTTGTTATTTTGACGAGTGACAAAGTGATAAGTGATTCCATCTCAGGATTCGTTTCTAATTTATTCCTGTTAACGAAGATATCTGCAGCAGGATTGTGCATCGAATAGAGAAAGAGAGTTACACTCAATTTCAAAAATGAGAAATTTGAGAAAAAAAATTATGCGGTCCAATTTAAATGAAAATTAAGACGAATTTGATATTTCTCCAAATAAATGCAATCTCGAAATTGTTACCATTTTTAAACGATTTCTGACGTTAGTCTTTCAGAAACGAGTGTAATTACTGTCATCCCTGAAAGCTCTTTAAAAAGTTCCACAATTGCTTCGTTAGACGGTATATCACACTGTGATTAAAGTAAATACCGTTTTACGAAATGCACAAGAGCAACTTAAACGGTGGAATTTCATATTAGCTTTTCAATTTTTTCAAATTCTCCAGTGTTCCATTTAAATTATGCTTCGTATGATAAAAATTAGACAGTGTGCAATAGTCACCTACGCAATCCGATCGTGCGTTTCTGCAAGTATAATTAATTGCACAGATCTGCGAATGACTGATACGTAACGAATTTGAATCCTTGACAAGTAGAGCAGTTTTTAAATTTATGCGTTCTTTAAAAAAATATATATATAACTTGAAGATTACATTTATTAACCCTTTGCACTCCAAGCATTTCTCCGTAAGATTAATAGTGAAACTTCTGAGAATCCAAAGATTTTTTTTTGAAAAATAAAAGCAAAAGGATCTTTAACGCTTATAAATTTACGTATTTCTATTTCTTCTATTAATTTGCATTATTCTGATAATATAAAAACACCCGAATGTTACATTTTAAAGTTCTCCATGTCGCCATAACAGCGCCAAGTGCAAAGGGTTAATATTTTTTTAGTTTTTCAGGTAGAATATGCATTTAAATTTGTACTGTGAAATTGTTTCAAATCTTGCATCTCTCTGTAGAACTGATCGTGTTATCAAATTAAGTTACTCAGGATCCTCCTGGTCAGAATTAGTATTCAAATATCTCTGAAATCATTTGTCCATCGAACTAACCATTGTTGATTTATTGTTAGGACATATAGTGGCATGAGAAAGTGTAGCAATTAATTCTGTAGCGTTTTAAATAAATGTACAGCGTGGACCACTTCTTCAACTATAGCGGTGTTAGGAAATTTTTATACCTAATTTAAATAGTTTCAAAGGGTGAATAAGATGGAATTTTCTCTACTGTCCGCTGCAGCAGACATTGATGTGCATTTAAACATGCATAATAACAGAATCTCAAAATGAGCTTGCTCATGTGAAGCTTTCTTTCATTTTTTGCCATTGTTTAAAAACTTTTCCTTCGTCCTTGAAATTATTTAAAATTTGAAACGAAATATTAAACTGCCTTTCATTTTTAGCCACTGCTTCAAAATTTTTCCTCCATCTTTGAAACTATTTAAAATTCAAAATCGAACGTGAAGCTTCCCTTCATCGTTTGCCATTGTTTAAAAAAATTTCTTCCATCCTTGAAACTATTTAAATTACCTATAAAAATTTTCTACAGGACATAATTAGGTGACTTGTTTTACATGGTCCATTTGTTATATTATTTTCTTTCATAATATCATTGTAAGCGTAATTGGTCAAGATCGATTGGTCGAAAAATTGGTCGAGATTTTGGTCAAGATGTGAGAAAAATAGCTATATTAGCGAGAAAAATTCAAGAATTCCTAAATATAAGTAATCTGTAACAGATTAGCCTTTATTAGATGATACAGTACTGAAACATTAAATGGCTGACGCTTAGATGCACAGTCAGAAAAGTAATCATATGTTAAGGGGTTAAAATTCCTTTCGTTCGCGAAAGAAAACCTATCCGTCTAGGACAAACTTTATCGTAACGAAACGGTAAATCGACACAATATCGATTTAATTGTATCGAGACAATCGTCAGAACGCGATCGCAGAAACCGCTTCCTAGCCAAACGAAGGAACGCGAGACGCAAGTATCGACGTAATCGGTGTGGCGTGGCGTGCGCAACACGCGGCTATAGTAATCGACAGTCAAGGCTAAATTACACCGTCGTTCCCATATTACACGCGGGGACAGGATCTCCTTGGACGCCGAGTGTCCGTTAATCGCATATTCCCGGACTGATCACTTCTATGCCCCGCGTTTGTCTATATACTCGCGCAACTCATTCGAATGCACTCCAACTGTCGATTTCCTTCACAAATTTCATTCCATACCGTGGTTATTTTCTGGTTAACAGTTGCTACTTTGCAGAACGATCAACTTTTTGGGTAGCAAGTGCAGCAAGAAAATTGGCCATTTTGCTAATAAATTTGAAGAAATCGCTCTTCTCTTAGGAAATTAGGGACTGAACTTCCAAAGTGTATTATACTCAGTTTCAGGGTGAAAGATGTCGTGTGAGAGCAAACTGGGCTTCGTATAGTATCATTGGCGAATTATTTATTAGCTAATTGAAACTTCAACAGTTACGAAAATTATTCGTTTAGTATTTATTAACCCTTTAACGCCACCTAATTATTTCCTAGGTGTATAGAAATTAGTTTTCTATTATTTACAGTGCTGTAACTCGCGTTTTTTTGTCATAATGGAAAGAATAAGGCAGTATGGAAAATGAAAGGAAATAATTAAATAAAAATTGAATTCCAAAAGTTATGAAAATCATTTGTTCTCACATTTCATTTCGCTTCTTTGTTGACGAACATAATAAGCAATATATTCAAACATTTGAATTATAAAAATTACACTAAAGAAGAGAGAAAAATGAAATATTTGCAACGAAAATTCCAGGTCCAATTCTCCTCGCCCCAATTTTACCCAATTTAACCAATTCCCGATGAAAACCATTCGAATAGTACACCGCACAGTGTTCTCTGAATCACGTAATACGCGCTCGTTGGAATAATTTTCGCTGAAATTAAGACTATTTGTGTCAAGAGGTAATTCTAGTCTCGTGGACCTCTACGCAGGTATACCAAACGTTCGCCGATGACTCAGCGGCCGTAATGACGATCCTCTGAGCGATTCTAACTCGATCCGATCGTCGCTATAATTTCTTCCTCTCGTTTCCTTTTTATCTGTTGCAACGAATAGTTGCGTCCATCCACCGCTTTATAGTACTTCAAATCGATCGCTCTACTCTTCTCAAGCTGACTTTCATTTTCTTTTCCCGCTCCCTTCGCACCACCTCTTTTCCTCATTCCTCCTCATGTCGTTCATCGAGTCACGCGTTCACTCACTTCTGATACTTATCAAGCTCGTTTTCTTCCAGCGATTTCGATCTCGCAGGTTTACCTAATTATCCGAAATATGCATCCTTTTGTTTCGTGGATATTGCAGAAGTGCTACGAAATTGGAAACGAAGGTAGCCGAGGCGTTAGGCCATCCTGAAAGCTTTTCCCACGATTTCAGGCTGTTAGTTTCGAAGAAACGTAACTGAAGATAAATACTTTTCTTTTCGAGTGTTTCTATGATTTTCGATACTCTATTAATGAAAATCAGAATTTTTAAGAGAAATTACTCTTCCATTTTTATATCATTTTATTTTATGTTATTTTTACATTAAATAATAGCGTTAATTCAAATTTAAATTTTTTTAAGTATTTCAGCACAGGGACATCGTTTAGGTATTCAATCACCGGTTTTTACGAGATTTGTGTATGGTATAGTACTTGAAAAGACACGTCCACGTTTAGGGGAAGTGAAAAACATATTTCCTTCGATATTTAAAAAATTATATCAGGTGTAGAAGAATGGCTTAGTAAATGGTTTAGTGGTAAAGTATCCGGCTGTGTAAATAGATTTCAGAAAAATCTACTTGTTTCAAGGGTATATTAAACAGATGTACAATATTTTGCACACTTTTGTAAGAAATTGTGGGTCGATTTTTGTGTAAATCTGCAAACATGAACTACAAACGAAAGCGGAAGATACGGATAAACTGAAATCTCTCTTTTTCTTTCAATCTTTCTAGAAAAGTGCAGAAGACAGCATGGCGATAGTGGTACCCGCGGTGAATTTGGAACCGACAGCAGAAACAGCTCTTCTCAGAGCTACAACATTTTTTTATGGACGTAGATCACTTGAAACTGAACTTCACGAATATTAACAAGCAATTTTCACTTGATCGTGTTTTCGGGCTCTTGTTACAAATTGTTGCGGTGTCAAATGATAAGTTCACTTCGATCAGTTTCCCTTATTTAAATTTCAATAATTGATTTGTCGATCGATTCCGAAATCTCTTCATCTTTTCGAGAAGCACGTTTCACAG